TATTATTATTATTATTATTATTATTATTATTATTATAACAAAATACAACAATCCTTAGACCGGTTGTAAACGGCATGAAGCGGTTGTGATGACGTGCTGAAATGGGCGTGAAGGAATCGGGGAGTCCTTAAAGAGACTGAGGCCAATTTCAAGGCGTTTTTTTCAAGTCAAAAAAAAAWTTTTTTTTATTTATACAAATTGACAGCTTTTTATTAACAACTGAAGKTGACRTAGTTACACGATTTTGGTAAAGAACTGAACTATGCCTGAGAAACACATAATATTGTCCCTTTAAATGACTGATCAGATGTGAACCTGGTTTTATAAAACCCAGATATAAATCTGAACCTTCAGGTTCTGGTTTAATTCAGTGGTGTAACAATATCTTCCCTCCTGCCGCATCAGAGGCGGCTCAAACAGCCGAAACATGAGAACCGACGCTGCAAAGAACACAAAACACAAAGATCTGACAGAACAAACAACTGGGTCACATGATGCGTTCACTGACCACAGACTAAGACAAAAACCTGATCTATTGTGTCCTCATAAGGTCTGGATCTGGGTTTCAGTCCTCCAGGTTTTATATTAGAGGTGAACTGACAAAGCAAGACCAGTCAGACACACAACTGGTTCAGGTGAAAATGGCTCAGTATTCCTCTACCTGCTGAGACGATTGTGACCCTCTCTGACCACCATAACCTTCATCATCAGACACACACGATCATCTGTCCTCACAGTAGGGGTGTAACAATACATCAATCWGTATYGATTTGAATGGTTCATGATTCAGTTATATCGAGGCAAAATGAAAATATTGATCTATATCGTCATCATRTGCTCGATGTAGATCAATATCATTATGCCATTCTAACAGAATCAGTGTTAGATGGGCATATATCGTATTATATCGATCACAGACTTGTGAATTGAATAGAAATAGAATAAAAAATAAATAATAAAATAAATAAATCATATCGTGACAGACTTTGTGTTATTGAGAAACATCAAATCCTCATCCAAACAYATYGATGTAATATTGTATCGTGATAAAGCTGGTGATTTACACCCCTACCTCACAGGTACCAAAACTTCATCGTCAGACACACACCATCATCATCTGTCCTCACAGGTACAAACATTCATTTTTAAGCACAACCAATGATCGTGTGTCTTCACGGGTACCAAATRTTCATCAACAAACATGATTATTGTCTGTCCTTGAAGTTTTTAGACCTTACCTCTTGTTCTTGGCTCTGAAATGTTTTTAAATCTCWGGTTTCCTCTCCAGTGAAGTTGTCAACTTTTCTTTTTGATAAGAAATCGGTACAGATAATTTTTTCCTGAAATTATTTTTCAGAATAAAGTTATTTATGACAATTTGTTCTTAAAACAAAACCACCCGAACACCTCTACTATCAGCACAGGACAGTGCAGCAGAACCACCATCGTTCTGCAGGAACGTGAAGCATGTTCTGGACCGTGGAGGTCCTGGAATTGGACCGGACTGTCTGCAGATCCTACCTTCTATTGCGATGACATGCTCCCGGATCTGGTTCTGCAGCATCGGTTCCTCGACCCGCTCCAGCAGCTCGTAGATGGAGTAGATGTTCGGGTGGACGGACTCGAACCTCTGGATCTCGGAGCGGATGGCGGCCGAGTTGGCCTGATGCTGCTGGTAGTTCATACCGGCAGAGACCTCACTGTTCCCCGCAGACAGAAGGAGGCGGTCCGGGCTGGAGGTCTGTGGTGGAACGGGACGGTGGAGGCTCCAGCAAGACCCGGTTCACAGCTTCTGGATCCTCATCAGGAGCGTAACTTATTATCTGCGTGGTGCACTTGTTTTATAATCTARGACACTTTCTACATCCCCGGATAATTTAATCCGAGGGGTCCTTCCAACGGAGGTGGCCAGATGGCTGCTACTGTCCAGGGAAGGCAGCTGTTCCCCGGGGCGCCCCGCTCCTCAGCTCCGCTGCGGTGACAGATGTGCGGCAGGCGGAGAAGTTCCGCTCCCCCATATCCTTCCAGAAGCTGCGGGATTAGAGAGAGTCTTCCCGACGTGTGGCCGGATTAAGGGAATCTTTTTACGACACTTTGAATCATAAATGACCGGAGGAGGAGCACGGATTGGCCTTGTTGTTAGCAGGCTAAAGCTAACTTAGCTGTAGCCTCTACACAACGGGAAAACAGGGGAAAATCACCGACTTCCAGACGCCAAAGTCCGCCTCACATCCGGGCAGAGAACGGGGCTGAGCCCCCGGACCGGACACTGAAGCGGGCCTGAGAAATAAGGGGAACCAGCAGATGTGTGGCGGCGGCTCGTGCAACACTTGCTGCTGGGTTAGTTCGGTTCCCAGCTCCGATTCCTCCGTCCCAGCCTTGTTTTGTTTCCACGGAGTCCAGTGATAAGCTCCTCGGTTCGGTTCTGATTTAAACCTGAGCGGCGGGAGTCAGCGGGCGCTCCGGGTTCAGCCGGGTCGGGTAACTGGTCCGCTTTGACAGGCAGGTCTAGAGAACTGGACCTAGAGACACCTCTGATCCCAGACTCCCAGGCAGCGCGATGAAGTCCRTCCCGTGTTCCCCGGAGCCACAAGAACCCAGCCGGGATTTTACAAATGACCAACCAAAGACTTCCGGTCCGGAGTTTCAAAATAAAACCACAAAGCCTCTGTTCGGTTTTATTCCTTTTTTTTTCATGAAATAAATAAATAAATAAATAAATAAAAATAATAATAATAAATAAATAAATAAATAAACAAACAAACAAGGGTTTCAACTAATAATCTAAGTTATTAAAGTTGCATTAAACAGAATAAAGAATATAATTAAAACAAAAACAAACAAAAAAAAAAAACCTAAAACCAGTAAAACAGAAATTTAAAGCTAAAATCAACAGAACGACAGTCAAAAGCTACTATTAGCGACAAAGCTGCTCAAAATTAAAGGAGCTATGTCATGTAAAATCAACTTTTTGGAGTTTTATTTCATGTTATAATGTTATCCTCTCATCAAAAAAATGCCCAGTCTTTAACTCATTCGTGCATGTTTGAGAAATCCTGCAGCCAGGCAGGGGAGCAAAAATGACCAGTTGGGACTAGAACCGCCTTTTGGGACCAGCTCCTCCTCTGGACTGTGTATTCCTCATCACACAGCACATCTACCCACCCCCTGGCCCCACCCGTGACCCCTGCAGGCTCTCTGCAGCCACAAAGCAAACAACTAGTCAAAGTGAAACTATCTGCTGAGCTCCCTACTCCCTATATTGACCACTACTCCCTACTTCTCAGCGTGACCCTTTTCAAGTACAAAATACCTTTGAGGAAATGTATTTTCTGACGCCAAGTAAACTACGCTGAGCTTCCATACCACAGACAGAAGAGGAAGGAGGTTCTTAAAGAGAGAGAGGCCAATTTCAAGGTGTTCACCTTCCAGAAACATGATGAGAAGATAAGTTTATTTTCTATTTAAACATATAAACAGCATTTTAATAACAACTAAAGGTGACATAGAAACTTTATTGTGGTATAGAACTTAAATACATGCATGAGAAACACAGAATATTGCCCCTTAACAAAGACAAGTTCAAATTGTCAAAACAATCTTTTAAAATTTAAAACAGCTTAAAGTTAAAACTATGAGATCAGCAGCCAAAATCTAAAATTACAAGACCAGAAACTAAAAGCTAAACCTATCAGATCAGTAGCTAGAACCTAATATTTACACAAAAATAGCAAACAGATTCACCAGCAAAACAGTAGCTTGAAGCAGAAACTAAAATTTGCCAAAAAAGTAGCTGAAATCTAAAATGATCAGAACAGAAGCCATGAGCTAAAACTGTCCGAGGAGCTAAAAGCTAAAATATCAATATTAGAATTAAGCAAAATAGTTACAATTATTTAAACGGTGGATAAACGCTGTAAATGAAGCATGGGCACTGAAACTTCAGACCTTTTAACAGTTTGAAGTAATTTTCATGAGATTCTAAAACAAATTCAAGATAAAATGAAATATTTTAAAAACTATAAAAGTTACAAAACCCAAACAGCCATAATGTCCCGAATGAGGTGATATTTTTCATCCCTGATTGGGGTCTAATTACCCAATGAAAAAAGCAGAAAAATGAATGAATGCTGACTCAGATTTCACAAATAATAATTATAATTATTA